TAATACAAAATGTTATCAATAAAAAACTGAGATCAGGTCTCACTCTTTAAAAAAAAAAAAAAAAAAAAAAAAAAAAATAGATATAATGTTATAAGGAAAAGGGGAAGGGGCGAACTACTTTTTCCAAGACAAAAGGTCAGGTCTTTTATACATGTTTTGTCAGCCATGATGTACAATACTTTGACCTAGTTAGCATTCGATATTGAATATTATCTTTTAGCTAACCTTGAGGATGCAACGTGAAAAGAGATGAAGACATGAGATAGTTAAAATAACTTGACGAGGCATGTGGGATCTAAAAGATTAACGATCGATCCATGAATATCTTCACGTTGGGGTGTAAATCAGGTGATTCGCAACTGGAGATATCTATCTGGGTCAGGTGACAAAAATCCTATGTAACACCGGATCAGTATCGTACGGATATGATCTGCTGATCTGCAAAACACCTTGCCGAAATTCATCCAAATCTTGCAAAAACTAATTTTATTTCTATCATCAAAGTCGGTATTTCAACTGCTTTCATATTTTCCAGTAACCGAATCGATAAGTAATCGGTCAGAATCAATTATTTTCCAGTAACCGAATCGATAAGTTATCGGTCAGAATCAATTATTTTCCAGTAACCGAATCGATAAGTTATCGGTCAGAATCAATAAGTTACTGACTTTGGCTGATGTTCAAACTTATCATTTCGGTTATTGTTCAAGAGTCTCAGAATTTAAAGAAACAGCCGTATTGCAGATATAACAATTTCATATGTATAAACACGTGTTGTGTTGTTAATCGACGTATGTCATTAATTTCCACCGATTAAAAAATGACTGGGTCAGTTCTTAATGCTGATAATACAAATATTTCTTTTACTTTTTTTCTTCGTAGTACTTATGGATTTACAAGTTACAATTTTCTATCACCAATGAGTATATATGTGCGCCTAAATTGCCCATCATAATAAAAAAAGTAATTACAGCATTTAGGCAGCCGTAATTAGTCTTATAGTGCCGAAATTAAATTTCATATTTGCCGAAATTATTCGAAAATTTTTGAACTCTTTTCATCAAAATACATCATATAATATAGTTCTTTCGAAGGGTTTTATATAAAAAAATTAGAAATGCCGAAATGTTTGCCGAAAATACTTTACTTCAAAAATAATTTAGGAACACATGTATAACCAATGAGAAATAAACAAGTTTGAAAAACAAAGATGTCTATGATGAGCATCTAATTATATCAAAAAAGTCTGGACCTTTACTGCAAATGAACTACATCATGTCAAGTCCGTAATATTTCATAATATTTAAAACACATTTAACCTAAAAATATTCATATAAAATATTCAAAAACGTCCAACCTAGACTAGAATGGGTATTTCTTTTAAGAAAATTGCTACAAATTATAATTAAGCCACTATCGAAAAATTTGCTATACTCGAGATGCATGAATGTTTTCTATTTGTTAAAACAATTATATTTAAAATATTTTGCATATATGTATATAAAATTTTGATTATACTTCGTTGAACACACGCATGTGAAGCGTATGTTTAATCAAATCGTTATAATTACTTTTTTAAAATTATATTGACTACAAAACGGCCTATGTCGTTTTCTAATTTAAAAATGAAATATTGCAATTAATGTCGGGGATGATGCTGAAATTTTGACTTATTTTATTATGAAAATTTAAAAGTTTTTTGGGGTGTTTTATACGGTTTTTTTTTGAATTTAGGGTTAATGTTTATAATAAAAGAGTATAGGTGGATTATAGTAGGGTTTATAGTTTCAAATTAAGACTTCAAATTTCAACATCATCGATTTCAGCATCATCCCCGAAAATTAATTGAAACATGCATAGATTTGAATATATGCATAAAAGTTTAAATGAGTTGTAATATTTTCTTTATTAATCGTAAATTTATACAAATGTTTGTTGAAAACACCATATCAATTTTCAAATTGAAAAATGAAATGCGTCAATTAATAATTGGCATGAATTGAGAAATGACGCATGACATATATATATAGACCAATTGTCTCATTATATAACGGTCTTTGCAGCCACAGGATGTATGCCTTTGCAATGCTCTAGCCATATATGTTTATATATGCTGGGCTGATATCTTGTGCAGAATTTTAATAAAGGTGTTATTGGATATCAAAGTGGCTGCTCGAATGTTGTCCGGGATTAAACCTTGCAATATTAGAGTATTGGGTACATTAGTACTATTTATGAAGAATATTTGCAGGTGTGTTGCTGGGTCTGGCAGTTGGGTATTCTGCTTTGCAGAGTATTTTGTTACTATTTCAGTTATGATTTGATGCAGAAGTATTGGAGTTACAAAAATTTTGCAAACCGCAATAATCAATATGAATGATTATAATTGATTAAAAAATCAGTTAAGTTTCCAAATTTCCTGATATATATAGAACTCTTTTGAGATGGGACTAAGTTATACCGTGCATTTACTGTGCATTATATACTTATAGATGCCTGACTATATTGGGTTCTGGCTTTTTATTAGACTTAAAGTATCACATTTTTGTATGAAGTTTGCTCAAATTCACGTATATTATGTACAAATAATCTAAATCTAAACTTTATAATTCTTAAATAATTTGTGTTGGTAAGTTTCTATTAAGATAAATTTACATAATTTTAACTCAGGAACTTTTATATAATTTATTCATCTACCTCTCCATCATCTCTTAATTTCATTATCAACTCTTTAATCTCACCTATTTCGATTTCCACTCGCTTATCTTTTGAAAAATTATCATATTCAACTTTAATTGCTTTTAAAACCGCAGGTGATAAATAAGGTTTCTCAAAACCGTTCCATTTATCATTTTGAATTATTCGTACTAGGTTTCGAAGTTTGTTTACATGGACTGTATAGAAACTGATAAAAGAAATAAATTTTTTTTCAGTAAAATAATAAATAAAAATTTTTAACATTATTCATCAAATCACATATTGCTTACATGATTTCTGGAAACCAATTTTTTTTTCTTCTTTGATGAGGTAACATATAAAACATTTCAATTTCAGCCAATACCTATAATAATTAAATATAAGATATGCAGCCTAATATATCTATACTAAATTAAGCTAGCTTTAAAAAAATACCTTGGCTTTATGAATCAAAAATGATTCTTCGTGATTAGTTTCATTAATAATTTTACCAAGAATTCCAATAAATAAATTTAATAAGTAAATCATAGTCAAAAATGAAAATGCGACCATTAAAATGATCAGAACAAAGTTATCACGTAGAACCCATGGAGATAAAGAAGAGGAGTCACCTGGTACATGAAATAGTAAAATTTGGATATTAGAACAAAAAAATATTTTAATCATCTAAAATTTAAAAATTACCAGTAAGCATAATATAAGTAGATAAAACGGCAGTTCCAAACGAGGAAAAAATATTATCAGAATTAACCGACTGACCACTCTCTTCAATTCCATCTATCCCAGTAGCATTATAACTCGAATCATCAAATGACATATCAGAATCAGGTCTCAATAATAAATTAAACGAATGTGCAAAAGCCAACATAATAAAAAATAAGATCACCAGAAAAATGAAAGCACGTTTTGCCACATCAATTATTAAGGCAAAATAAAACCCAACAGGTTCAATGGCACGAAAAAACAAGATAAATTTTAATTCAAGGAATAAAGTGGAAATGGCCAACATCCAGGTTGAAACAGACCCGTGTTGGTGCCAGAGAATGGATGTTATTACCGGAAATAAGATAGCACAAAGATCTAATTAACAAATTATATTAATATGATTCATTGAACCAAATCGAAATAATAGTTATTGTGATGATAATTACCATACAAATACCACAAATTAGTAATATATATCAAAGGAGAATAAATAAGCTTTCTAAATTCAAATATCAAACAAAAAATTCCAAAAAAAGAAGTTGCTTGCAATAACACCAATAGAAACTTCAATGAAATTGTATTTGACATTGTAGCAGCTATCATAAAACAACCCAAAATAATAGTATAAACCAACCAAATAGCCAGATAATATTTCCTACCATAAGTATTCCATTTAAAATTAAGTAAGGCTTCACCATTCCAATATTTGTATAATTCTTTGTCAATCGATTTTACGAAATTACTTGGAAGAGGTTTCCATAGCTCTTTCCATGTACTATAATTCTCAGGGTATGAAACAAATTTTGGTAAAGGAAGCAATAATTTAATAGTGATATTATAATCCAGACTATAATTATAATACCAATTTTGAAATGGAACCATTATAAAAGTTTCTATAAAAGAATACATTGTAACATCCTTATTAGATTGAAAGCGATTTTTATATTGGTTGTACTGAAAATGTTTCCAACGTTCATAAACTCTCGAAATAAAAATGTTTGTAAGTGAAGTTTTTGATAAATAATTATAAATCCCGTGATGATAAAGATGTGAAGAATGAAATATGGAAGGCTTCTCTTTAACCTTTAATGATCGGTCAACAAAAGGAATCACGAAGGCAGCCCGTGATAGAAAACCGGCCAAATAATCTGGATGTTTTTGTAATAATTCAGGAAATGCTTGCCCAATTATGCTAAGTAATTGAATATTTGAAGTTGATACATCACTACTATTTGATTTAAAATTAAAATCAAAACAACTTTCACACAATTTTTCCATCATTAAATCAACATCCATTTTTAGAAATGAGTTCATAATAGTCATTCCATAATATATTATAGAAAATTTATTGGTAACATAATGTTCAATAAGTTCTTTAAAAAAGTAACTCACATCTTGACTACCTTCGGGACCAAATGATAACTCTTTAAATTTAATAACAATGTCAAACTTTGGTGGTGGAAGAATTCTTTTTGCAAATGAATCACTGTAAAATAGTTTCTTATTAGTTAATTCTTGATAGTAAAGATCCTCTTCTCCCCAATAATAAAGTAATCTAATTCCTTTGTCAGGTATAACAGTCCAGATAAGTACACCAAAAGTCGTGATCATGAATAAATCATCATTAGCAAGTATCCTGCATTGAGTAACATACTGTGGCCTATCTTGAATCTCTGAATGAAAACTAGGAAATATATTACGTTGAGATTTTCCTTGTACCGGTAACCATTCATTTTCTTCATGGTTAAATCGAAATGCCTTGAGAATTAATGACTTTTGAACTTGACAATCTAATTCCCATTTTAATAGTCGACCTTGATACGTTTCTTGCTCAATATGATCAATATCGTACCTACTTTGATAATTCTCGACTTTTGCTTTTTTGATCATTTCATCCATCAAAATTCTATCTGATAACGTAAATAGTCCATTGTAGTCATTAAGTTGTTGTCGTAAATAATCAATCCAATTATTATAAATAAATCCACTATAAATGGATATAGAACCATCAATTAAACCAATTAATTGATCAGATCTTATGATATAAGGGTTTTGGATCGTGGAGCCAATTTTAAATAAGTCTTCAGCATTAACAGGATTTTCAAGAGTATATGGATCAAATAAGTCCATCTTAATATTGCCTTCCGCATCATGTGATTTGACAAGTAAACGTTCACCAATTCCATGAGCTATAAAGTAAATTCTATCTACCTGAATAGAAGAATCATAGTTATCTATAAATAAATAGAAATCTGTTACGCGGAAACTTCATTTTCCATAATAATGAACCAATTATTAAAAAGAACTCACAAGTGGCCAAATTCATTCCATTCATTGTGGAATAAATATAAATCTTTGGCGTCCTGAGGTCATCATCTTCTGCATAATTTTTTGCATAGATTCCTAATAACTCTTCATCCTCAGTAATCTCAACAAGAACAGGTACATAACTCCAATCAATTGGGCAATTTGCTTGAAATTCCCGAGTTTTGATAATCCAACTTGTAAGTTGAAAAGTTTTATCGTTGAATAAAATTAAATTTCCATGTATTGTTATGAAAGAGTCACTAAAATAATTCAATTCAAACATAGATGTAAGTATCCATTCGACCAAAGAATTTGAATCTGGTGGAGTTGGTGTAAATATGTAAGCCCTATATGATGGAAAATTTGAAATCACCACAAAGTCACCATTTCTAGTGAATTCAGATCGATCGATGACGTTTCGTGAGTTTGGAAATTGAAGCAGTGGTTTTTGTTTAGTCGATACGTCAAATATTTCTGATATAAAACGCAAGAAATGTTAATCAAATGATTAAATTAAATGCTTCTTTGATATTTATATAATTACCAAAATTAAGGTGATAGGAATTGGTCTTTATCACGACATGCATATTATCAGATACAGCAGATAATGTAACAGGTTCTGTAATGCTCGTTCTTGAAATTTCGTTTTCGTATCTTAAATGTTGTTGCCCAGTGATTATCGACCATAAAACGACAGATTTATCGTCGTCACTCCATGTACCCACATATTTCATTCTGGGAGAGCATATAATCTTGGAAATTATTTTACCATTATGTGGCCTTTCCATTGAGAGTTGACGGCTGTGACGGCTAGATGGGACGTGGACAATCGTATTTTCATTTTGGGATTGGAGTTGGAATGTGGATTTTGGTTTTGACGTAGATGATGTTGATGACTCCATATTCTTATTTTTATGACAAATGTTAAATTATGAAATAAAATTATTTAAAGATTTTTTTTTTAAAAAACTAAAAATTATTTTCGTAAACATTCTGGTCATTTTGAATGGCTTTTCTTTTTTTTTATATGTATAGACGCACAGCATGCAACGGGTGATAACGACATATTTATAAATATTTATTATAATATTTTGTAGAGCGAGAGTAAAACATTTTCTATTTGTGGCAGAATTCCACCCTCACATATATGTACACCTTAATTGCTATTACAAGGCATTAATAACTTAGATGCACCCAGAATTAAAGTTTGACGTTTATTTATATATTGTTAAAAACGTTTACCCTAGAAACTTAGCAAACACAATATTTTATTACTGTGTATCAAAATGTTAAGCCCACAAACATAGCCACATTTTATTTTTTTTTTAATGATACACTAGCTGACGCAGATTTTGATTGGCTGGTCTATATAAATTTGACGATCCTTTTTAAAGAAGGTTTCTCAATAACTACATAATCAAATTCGATTCCTTAATTAAAATAATTATATAACTCTTAAAATTCGAATAAAACATTTCATCAGATTTGATCCTGTAGTCGCCAAGAAATATTTATTTATGGTTAAAAAAAAAAAAAAAGCCATGATCACATTCTAGTTTGCTTTTTTAGTATACAGTACAAATAAGTATTTATATGAGTCAAAATTTAAAGCTATATTTAATAATCACAATTTTTGGTTATAATTGAATATTAAAGTCTCCAAATTATAGCAGCAGTTTTATAATATTTTTATGCATTGTATTATTATTTTTGTTACATGTACATTATATTAATATTATTAATAAAAAAAATCATAAGGGCAATTTAACGCACTATGCAATTCCCTTTTATAGTAAACCTGCCATAAATGGTTGTTGGCTAACGCTAAGGCGGAATTAATTTTTAATCCATAGCTATCGATATAGATATCAAAAAAGTAATTTTAACAGGTATCTGTTTACATAAGTACGATAACAAAGGGTGTTATCAAACAAATTAGTGTACAAATACTTCAAATTCAAGTTCAGTTAGTTTCCGTACAATGCACATTGAATAAATTCCCAGAACATCTTTTATTTGCTCTGAGCTATATTTTTGCATTTGTACAATTTAAAATTCAAGTTATTTTTTCGAAACTTAATTATCGCGGCTGAAGCTGGAAATTAAAGATCTTGATTTAGAAATATAAACTCTATAAAAATCCAATTATGCACTTTTACTATTAGCCTGCAAGTGTTTTGCTATATACATATTCGCGTGACATTCATGGAGTTTGACGTTTATTTAAGTCACCAAATTTAACTATATAGAACTATTTCTAGGGTTCTTTATATATCAACTAAGAAATGTAAGAAGCAGATACATGCACTCAATTTAGTGATATAGATTATCAAAACTAATCCTAAATCTTTAACCTAACTATAACAAAAAAGCCAAACCAATGCATTCAAAAATTTTAAAATTTCATCTTACATTCGGGAAATTGATGTCAGCTAAAGCAGTATTACGACCTGGGAGAGCTTGTCCTTACTCAACGCCGACTTTAGCACAGGACTGCAAACATAGACGTGGGATATTATCTTTAAGGAACGATGGGTATGTAACGCTTATTTATTTTATTTATTACTGCCGAAGTCAAAAAGGGGAGAGTTTATTATTGTTGTGCAGAGTGAGCAAAAGGTTTATTACTATTTGGGTGAACGCCATATTTATATCTTTTACATGCAAGGGTTTCAAACCCGGATCCAGGGTCTCGGACCCTAAATACTACCTAGCGTAACGAATCAAACGGCACATACAAATAAAAGAAAATATACATGCAAAGAAATTTTGAAAAAAAATTTCGTACTCTTGATATCTATATACGTAGACCACTAACTAGGGATGGGCAAATCGAAGATTTGTTGAATTTACTGTGCATGCTGCGCAGCCTGCACAGCCTGCACAGCCTCGATTCCTCTAGTAATCTAGAGACTTTGGCTCATTAGCATATACTTCATATGTGTAAAATTAGGCTTCCAACATTCTTAATTAGTTCTCCAAGATCAGTTTAGACGTCAGTTTTTGAGTTACTGTATTTTACTTTTTTCTTGCATATCGGTTGATTTGCGGCTGTGTAATTTTGCGTAAGTTTCAGTAACATGGATTTCATGTAAATTTCACACGTAGCATTATAAAAAACTTTAGCTAGCATTATCGAACTGCAATATAATTTGCATAAAGTTTACTTATCAAAATCGATGACATATGATCCATATGATAGTATGATAACATTTCTTGAAACTACTTTTTTGAAACTTTACATTTAGTTTATCGATAAGGAACACTATATGCGCAAACTAATAAAGCTTGGAAATCACATGCCTGACTCTTTATCGCAATAGCCAAGCTTAAAAAGTCCGTAAAATAATTTAAGTGTCAAATTTTAATATGTAATATAAAGTGATACGAATTTCTTAATCATCATACCTCAAGACGACAGATTGGTAAAGCCCACCTTATTAGGTCCGGAAGCTCGGATTACACCAATAAACAAAACCTTTGGATAGCATTAAATCGGTACATAACCGTGCAATTCGGGAAATATCACTCTGTTCCTGGTATAATCCATAAAATTGCAATCAAATTTTGATACTAAACTTTTTTACCTGTAATGGAACAAACTACTGGATTGACATCTGAGTTTGCTGATACTGCTCTTAAAGCTATTGAAGATGTTTCTGATGAGCTTTATGAGATAAGCATAAAAGTAAATTCCATGTTGATAAAGTAAAATTAAGCATATTAAAATTTAATGCTAACAATTCTAAATGCACAGATAAATGAGAATCCAGAATTGGCTTACGAAGAAAAATTTGCACATAAATTATTAGTTGATTATTTGAAAGAAAAAGGATTTAAAGTAACACCGAGTGCTTTTGGGTTAGAAACCGCATTTTTAGCAGAATTTCAATCTAAAGCTGGAAAAGGTCGCGTTGTTTCATTTAATTCCGAGTAAGTAATATTAGCTATTTTAAAATAAGTATTAACTTTTCTCTTATAAAAGGCTATATAATATATATACTAGATATGATGCTTTGCCAGAAATTGGTCATGCTTGCGGGCATAATCTTATCGCAATTAGTGGAGTAGGTGCTGCAATTGGTCTCAAGGCAGTTCTTGAGAAATTTAACATTGAAGGAATTGTAAAGTTATTTGGAACCCCTGCAGAAGGCATTGAAATTTCTATTCTTTCTTTATAAATTTAAAAAATGCAATATACGTAACATATTATATCTACATTTTTTAAGAAAGGGGTAGTGGAAAAGTCGATTTAATTAAAGCCGGTGCATATGAGGGAGTTGATGTTTCATTAATGGTCCATCCAAGGTGACATTATTTTAGCATTTAATTTCTGCTATACTGTATTTTAGCGTTTAATTTCTGTCATATTTTTCAATTTTCAATTGCTAACAATGATTGATGAATTTATTAGCCCGGTAAACGGAGGTTTTGTACCTTTTCTAGCGATCCGACGTGTAGAAGTTGAATATTTTGGGAAAGCTGCACATGCATCGGGTAAAAATTTTATTTTATTTATTTTATAATTACTGTATTATATATATATGTATATGACTTTATTAACATTTAATTTGTTGGTTAATTATTAGCAACACCCCATAAAGGTATTATAAAATTCTTTTTTTTTTTTTTACGCTGCTTGGCGATGTATTGATAATTAATCAATTTTTATACAAAAATTAAAAATGACCTAACAGGAATTAATGCATTGGATGCAATAGTATTGGCGTATAATAATATTGGATTATTAAGGCAGCAGATTCTGCCTACGGACAGGTATAAGTCGATTATCGTATTTATTTTTGTGATAATTCATACTTAATCATGATTGTAATATTTGTAGAATTCATGGAATAATTACTAATGGAGGACAAGCACCCAACAGTTTGTACTATATTTACACTAATATTGAAATCAAATTTTAAGGTTATAATCAAAAATTCTACATAATATTTTTAGTCATTCCAGAACATACAGCTGGTTCTTTCCTTGTTCGCGGAAAGACAATGAAAGATTTGGAAGCGCTTCAGCCACGTGTACATAAATGCTTTGAAGCAGCATCAGATGCGACTGGAGCTAAAGCCAAAATTACATGGAGAAAAGCGGTTCCTGGTAGCTTCATAAATATAATAAGTATTCATCAATTAAATAATAATAAATAATTTAACCTAATTATCGTTTATAGATGTGAATATAAATGAACCTCTTGCCACGCGCTACGAATACTATCTTTCAAAAAAATTTGGTATCACATTTCCGTCTAGAGAAGATCAGAATAATGCCTTCAGCGGATCCACTGATCAGGGAAATGTAACTCACCTGGTACCTGGGTTTCATCCAGTTTATGACATTCGTTCATCTATTCCTGCTGTTAATCATCAAAGAGAATTTGCTTCAGCATGCAGAACAAAAACTGCACATGAAGAAACTATAAAAGCTACGAGTGGGATGACTTTAGTTGGATTAGACTTTTTGATTGATGAAGAATTTGCTAAGCAAGTCAAGGAATCTTTTGACAAATCTAAATTATAACTATTGGTGATGAATTTGCTAAGCGAATCTATGTATCTTTTATCAAATCTAAATTACTCTCTATAATCACATCCTTAGTTTGAAGAATTTGGCGCTTATAAAGAGTTTGTGCTTATATAGAGGTTAAATTTTATATATGCAATATAATTTGATTTTAAAAATTTATGTGATTATAAGCCAATGTGACTATTGAGGAGGTTGCTATATAGAGAGGTCTGACTGTATAACAGAAGTTGTATAATTTATTTATAAAATTTCGCTTGCATATTCTAACTTTTAAGAAATTTTATTAAACTAGCAAATGATCATGTGTCGGCTTCGCAATTATTTTAACTAGAGATGTGCCGCGTACAGTACAGTACGCAAGAAACTTTTAATATTCTAGAGCAAATCATTAAAGTATCCCTATCTCAAATTTTTGACTATGAAACTGACTTTTGCACTTTAACAAAAATTGTTCCTTGCAAAATGTTACATATAACTGATTTACAAATGCTACGTGTATTATGGATATTACGTATGTTATACACACTATACAACTATACGTACTGTACGCGAAAAAAATTCAGGTATCGTATAAATGGCACATCACTAGGTTTAACACATATAAATTTATAGTGCCCACCAAAAGTTTTCCCCGCCTGTAATTTAGGATGAATTTAATTGTAACATGTTACACGTTTATTTGTAACTACCGTTTAGTGACCCGACGACAAATTTTAATTTTTTGTTTTTAAAAAATAATTTTTTAATAAAAATTTTTATTTAAAAATTTTATTGACACCCAGCCCGAATACCTGGAAAAACATTTTATATTCTAAAGAATTTTTATTTTAATAATGAGTACGAGCAGATTCCGTATTTTTATTGTGCATGAAGGGCAATTTATCATTTCACAAAATTGAGAGCATTTTGCATAGTCTAAAATAAAATCAATTATGTATCTGCGCAACATAATTGTGCTTAAGTCAAGAACGTAATATAATCGCTAGACTCGTATTAAGGATTCAAGTATAGTGACAAACTTTATAGTATTTGTAAAAATATTCAATTAACTTATGCAATCTATTTCGAAGTATCATTTATCTTGTAAATTGATTAAATCTGTGGTATATGTATGACGAATCATGTAATTGATTAAAATTTGAATCAATTAACATATGCTATGTAGCTACACATCTTGTATATTACCCATAGGAGATTCCTTGAGTAGTGATTGGTAGCCTAAAACAATTAAACTAGTATGTTATTTGTAGTAGAGTTGACTTCTCTAATAAAGCATTAATTACACTACTTTTCCTTTCCATATTGTTCGTAATCTTACCAAGTATGGTTGGTAACTTAACTGTTCATGTTAGTTCGTATCATCTTCACGCATAAGATCGCCAAAACAATTTCCTCGCAATACCTAGAAAAGGAAATTCGCACATTTCATTTTTTAATACTGTACTAGATACATGTACATGTAAAGAAAATATTTTTTTTTTAAAAAACAAAAAAAAAACTTATCAAAATCAAAAGTATTTTCAACATGCGCTAGAATGTATTATTTCATCGCTTTTTATGACCTCTTTGCCCTATAATTACATATCACTTTGTGAGTTAATTTTTATTTTTTGTTTTCTTTTCGTCGAATTTCTTATCGGTATGATGTACATGTAGATACACATGTATTACATCTACATGTCTATTGCATTGAGGAAACAAAAAATTCTAATCATTTAAAACAACTCAAATCCTAATAAAAAAAGTATCCTTTTAGTACTTATATGTCAATCCTATGCTTCTATTTTTTTAAATTTTTTTTCTGGTTTTTTGGATTTTTTGCCGGTATAATGAATTGATAATCGCTGATCGTCAAAGATCATAGCGAAAGAACTACGGCGAAAGAATCGTGAACTCAGCCCCTCAACACCCTGATCAACACAAAATTAATGTGATTTACTGTCATTCTATCGGTACAGCGGCATCGCCACATTCTGAAAACGCGCATTATGTTCACTTACCAATAGTAATTGGATGGAAATTAGATCCGGATTAGGATTTATAATTATTGGATGTGTAATGTTACGATCATGGGAGACTTTTTATATCCACTGAACCAATTTAGTTTAGGACGTAAGCATTAAAAGAAATGAACCAATTATTTATTATCACACACAAGGCACCAAAAAGTACTGATATTACTAGCGATGCAAGTAAGTATCTTTAATAAGTGTACCCGGTACACTATAGTCCTCCAAAATATCCCTTGTTCCAACTCAAAAACAAACTAAAATCTACTAACCAACTTTCAAAACTCCCTAACCAGTGTTCTACAACTCTCTATTAGACTCTAAATAAGCTATACACTATTTAATACATGTAGTACAACAATATAAAGTCTAATTAAAGTATACTCAATTATAAGGTTACACGGCAAAAGTATAATCATTAACTTTGTTACACTATTTTGCGTAACACCCAATGACATTTTTATTTGGCAGGTGATATTGTACTACGTATAATCTTATGATCGTTTCATATAATAAATAAAAGCTTTAAATTAGAGCACCAATTTTGTTCCCGGAGGGGCCAAAGTTGGTGCATTAAATTTAGGACGGAACATCCTAATGACAGAAATACTTGAGAAATTTTTCTTTCCGGAATAAAATAAGAATAAAACAAACAAATCTACTATCTTTAACGCATTATGGGCTGCGAAGCCGCCTACATGATCATATCTCTAGTTAAATAAATAAAATATAGCGATACGGTAGTAAAATTTAAAACAATGCCGGGCGAAGCGAGGCAAAACATAATAAATATAAAACTAAGCTTGAATTGAGGCCAAAAGTTATTGCATTGGTTATTTCAAAATTAGCTTTATGCATTTGTGTTCTATTTCATTAAAGAAAGAGAATTTTTAATAAAGTTTAATGTTAATCAAATAAAACATTGTTTTACTGCTTCACTTGATTGTCTAATTATTAGTTAGCTAAAACTGAATGGCAA